ATCGTTAAGCTGCTGAACACCAGCGGCTCTGAGAGAAAATATCTGACCAGTGAAGACTTTAGCCTAGGAGAACACTGTGGAGGCCGTTCTACTCTGTCCTATATGGTAGCTATGAGTCGAAATCAACACGAAGGCACACAACCTGGTTGTAATTGACATTTTCTCCCTTAGTCCTTCCTCCTACAGGCGGGAGAGAACTCGCTGCCGCTGCACCTCACGGCTCCGCCAGGGGGCAGGAGAGGTCATATCACACAGGGAATTAAAAACTCCCAAAACTTTCCCCAAAAAACTGTGTTCCTCTTCATGAAACCAAATCCTTCATCTGTGGCGTCCCAGGCGCCCGCCCCGACCAGCCGGCTCCCGCCAGGGGGCGGCGCCCCTTGCCCGCGCCTCCATCCTGAGCCCAGCCTTCGCTGTGCAGCCCGAGCCTCGGCCCCGCTGAGTGAGCACCTCTCCGCCCCCGCCCCCTCCCATGAAGATGAAGGTTTGGCTGCTAGTGGTTCTTCTGTTGGTGTCCGAAGCACTGGAGAATGGTGAGTGACTCTGGGCAGGGGACTTGTGCCCTGACTTTAGCCCCGCAGCCCTGAGCCCCGGTTGTCGTCGAGCCAGCTCTTCCTCTTTTCCCTTTGACCTTCCGAGACTCAGCCCTGGAGCCACTCTCCGCCCCTTGCACCTGCCCCTCCCAAATAGGGTCTCCATTCCTCCTCTCTTCACTTCTCTGCGAGCCCGGGAGGAAGGTGGAAGCTTCTGGTCGGCTCCTGACTCTTATGATCCCGGCCATAACTGTTCAGCCCTCAGACAGCCCTCTGCCAGCCAGCGCCTGGTCCAGCCCCCAATGTCAACGTGTCGATCTGGGAGGTGGCGCGGGAGTGGCGAATCGCTTCCACCTCAGCGCCGCGATTGCCTCGGGACCTCTGCTTCTAAGGGCAAGTCCCACTAAGGAAAGTAATTGGTGATTCTTTTGCAAAATTCGAAATGTCCTCCTCTGCTTCACAGCCCTGGATTTGTTTTGTATCCTAGCTTGAGCTTGAGTGCGTCTGCAGCAAGGGCTGCATAGGTCTTCAAATATTTCTGTGTATTAAATCTCAAGATGAATCTGAAATCTAAAGCTGTTACACTTCTTAACTGATTAGATGGGATAAGGTGAAGAAAGTGCATTTTTGTATAGCACAAAGGGGGCCGTGTGCCATAGTACTCCTTTGAATGTTTGACTACCCTGGGTTACCCTAGATACATAATAGACACATAGCCCCCCCACACACACACACACGTTATCGTGTACATACTTGTTTTGTTTGTGGTATTATTTATTCAACTAGTGTTATTTGTACGGCATATTGTTTTATACGGTCCATCCTGGTATCCTGAAACCTCCCTTAGAATTCCTCGGCTACAGACAATTTTTGCTTAGTTTTGTTTGAAAGGCAGCTTTTGCTGTTATGCAACCTCACTCTGGAGCCAGCTCAACCAGGCTCACATTTTATCCACTCAATCCTGACCAGTTCCTTTCTTTCCTGTAAAATTACAAGCATTTACCAAAAAATACCACATTCTATTTTACAAGTCCAAGATGCTTGTAGGGCTTGAAATTGAGCATGAGAATCCTTAAGCCTAGATCCTTGCTTAATAAAATGTAGACAGCCTTCTTCTGGGGAGTGAGGGGAGGGCGCAATATTAAAAGCTCCTGGCAGGTCGTTGTATGTGACTGCTGAATGGACAGAAATGTAGTATTTGTTTTTTTTTTTTTTTTTTTTTTTTTTTATGGATCAGGAGATGTCTACACAAAATAATTTCAAATTGACCATTCAATTGATTATATAGTTCATCCAAGATGCCTGTTTCACAGGCTTAGAAAAAAAACTAGTTCCACTGCTTTTGAGTTGATTCTGACTTACTGTGACCCCATGTGTTAGGAGAAGGTGGAGATGGCTTCAGCCTCTGCCTTCTGGATCCCTCTCAGCCAATTGTGCCCAAAGTATGTGAATGATTACAAGTGTCTGTCTAAATAACATCTGTTTAAATAAAATACATGCATACAAACAGTAAACGTACATGAGACAGACGAATTTGAACGCATTCTAAGTATTATTTAGAAGAACTAATCGATAAATTGTAGATGTAGTAATAACAATATGATGATGTTTTCATGAGCCCTGGTGGCACAGTGGTTAGGTGCTTGGCTGCTAACCAAAAAGGTTTGCAATATGAACCCATCTAATAGCCTAGAAATTTATGGGGCAGTTCTACTCTGTTACATGGAGTCCCTAGGAGTCAGAATCCATTCGATGGCATGTAACAGCAACAACGCACACATATATATATGAAGCCCTGGGTATGCAGTGGTTAAAGTGATTACCTGCTAACCAAAAGGTTAGCAGTTTGAAACCATAAGGGACTCTTTGGGAGAAAGATGAGGCAGTCTGCTTCCATACAGATTTACAGCCTTGGAAATCCTATGGGACAGTTCTACTCTATCCTACAGGGTCACTGTGAGAATCGATTGACAATGGAGTTTGGTTTTGGTATATCTACATCTATATAAGTGTGTGTGTGTATATATATATATATATATATATATATATATAATATCATATAGAATATTTATGGTTGAAATACTGAACACATAATTAGGAAAGTAAATTGGCTTCATTAAATTATATAACCATTTTCCTAAATCTAATAAGAATGTTCTTTCTGTTTTGAATTATTCATGTGGTTGGCTGGGCCCATGAACAGACCAGTGAGAATGTATCATACAGGAAGCCCTTCCAGGACCGTTCTCTGATTGGCAGTTGGGACTCTCTGCCTGCAGGGTCATCTCAGAGCACAAAAAGCAGACACCAGGCTCCTGACTCCACTTGTTCCACTGCTTTTCAGTTTTTCTGATCATAGCTGGGAGTGACGCTTCTAATAGAAAAAAGCATCCCTAGAAGTGTATGTAGGAGATGTGGAGCTCTGGTGGCATAGTGCCTAAAGCATTTGACTGCTAACCAGAGGCTGGCAGTTCAAACCCACCAGCCAGTCCTCAGAAGGAAGATTGGCCAATCTACTTTCATAGAGATACTGCCTCAGAAACCTAAGGAGGGGTCGCTATGAGTCAAATTGATTTGATGGGAGTGAGTTTTGTTTTGAGTTTGGTATGACTGCCATCATCCAGGGAAGTTTGCCTTACCCAGTTCCAAAATGCTTAAAATTCCTAGAAGTAATGTTATTTCTTCTCACGTAGAATGGGAGTTGGAAGAACTCGTATGACTCCTGTGGCATGAAACTGATGCAGGAAAACAGTTAATAAATAGTTCAAGACCCCATTTGGAGTAAAACAATGCTCACAGCATATATATGGAATATATGATGCTGTGTTTATTGATATAGTGCTATTTCCCCATGAAAAAGTACAAAACCACAGCACTTACCAACTTTTCATTATTTACATATTTTTTCTCTCATGTCAGAAACAAATGATGAGGTATAGATACTGATGTGTTATTGCTGTTTGGTTGAACTACACCAGACCCTTGATCTATGAGCTTCAGCCTAACGTGGGTTTATTTTTGATCCTGTGAAAGAGCTCTGTTGTTAGGAGGAATACAGAGACTCATTATGAATGATGTGAGGGCAACACAGCCAGATCTCTAAGGGGCTAAGGAGAACAACACGCTGACCATGATACTGTAACTGGAACCCTATGCCATTCTTGTGTTTCAGTTTATTCCTTGGAAAAAGAGAATAAAAATTAATTCAGAAATCCTTATTTTATCTATCTATCTATCATTTCTCACTGCTTAAGAATGCAAATAATGAGTATTTTGAAGTATTTAGGATTTATATGTGTTCCCTACAAAACAATCTCCTGTCTTTAAGGCCAAGAAATAGAAATGTTTGAGGGCAAGAGAGAGACCTGGTCCTGTGAGGGTCACTGGAATGAGAAGTCCTGAGAAATGATGACATTTCCTGGAAAAGGTTGTAAAACTCTTGCTTTGTGGTACTCACAATCCAATGGGGAGGACAGGTAATAAATAAATAGGTGAAGTATAATTTCAAGAAGTAGTAAGTGGCATGAAAAATCACTAATTAGGGTAAGAGGAGAAATAGAGGTGGGGAGGAGAGTGAGGGTATCATTTGGATAGGATGGTCAGAGGCCTGCCTGAAGCAAGGATGCAAACCCTACAGATATCTGAAAGAATATTTCAGGCCAAAGGTTCAGGAAGTATACCAGCTTCGAGGTGAACTTGTACTGGCCATGGTAGCTGAAGGAATGTGAGGCAAGAGAAAGGAGATGAGATCAGAACAGAAACTAGGGCAGTGTGATAAAACCAGTTGTCCTCGAGTTGATCCTGACTTATGGTGACTCCAGGTGTGTCAGAGTGGAACTGTGCTCCATAGGGTTTTCAGTGGCTGATTTTTTAGAAACTGAACCAAACTCACTGTCATCGAGTCGGATCTGATTCATAATGACCCCTCCTTGGGTTTCTGAGGTGGTATCACTACGGAAGTATATTGCCTTCTGAAGAGTGGAGGTAGGTTTGAACTGCCAGCCTTCTGGTTAGCAGTCAAATGCCTTAGGCACTAAGCCATCAGGTCAAAAAGTCTTTCTTCTGAAGCACTTCTGGGTGAACTTGAATTGAACCTCCAACTTTTTGGTTAGTAGCTGAACGCCTTAACTTTTTGCACCACCCAAAGGCTCCAAGACAAGATCATAGAAAATGTAAAGCCTTGTAAAGCATCGGCAAGATTTTGAATTTTATTCTGAAGTAAGCAAAAGTCACTAGAGGATTCTGAGCAGGGATTGCCCACGATCTGATCGATATTTTCAAAGCTACAGGTGCCAGAGTAGAAGCAGGAAGCCTACTCAAGAAGCTATTTTAATTGTCTAGGTGAAAAGTGGCTTTGTGCAAGGGGTAGTAGTGATGATTATAATGAGAAGACTGTGTTCAGGATCTAATTGGAAGGCAAAGCCAAGATAACTGCTGCTGGATTGAATGTGGCACAGGGGAGAAAGAGGACTCAAGTATGACTCCAAGATTTTTTGACCTGAGCAACTTTTAGAATAGAGTGTGTTTACTGATAAACACTGGGGAAGGACTAATTCTGAAACAGCATCCAGAGTTCAGTTTGGGTGTTTTACATTTGAGGTGCCCATTAGTCTTCCAAGGAGCTCTGGCAGCATAGTGCCTAAGGCCCTTGACTGCTAGCCATAAGGCTGGTGGTTCAGACCCACTAGCCACTTTTCAGAAGGAAGGTTGGGCAATCTACTTCTGTAGAGATACCACCTCAGAAACCCAAGGAGGGGTCGTTATGAGTCAGGTCTGACTTGAAGACACATAACAACAACAAGAACATTAGTCTTCCAAGTAGAGATGCTGAGTACGGCAACAGAATATTTAGATCTGCAGTTTAGAGGAAAGGTCAGGACTGGAAATAGGGACAACTTTCTGCATATAAATACTGCCTATCCCTGGGGAGCTGTGTGAGGCTATTTAGAGAATGAGTGTAGTTAGAAAGGTGGTGTAAGGACTGAGCCTTGGAGCTCAGA